AAAAAGCTAAAATATTGAAGAATTAATACTAGCACACAAGCACAAGGAGGGGAGGCTAACCCCTCCACTTTTTGGACTTCAAAACATGATTTTTGCCTCTGAAAAATCTTTGAAAATTAGTGGTAAGAAGGTCAAAAAAATGTGATGAGAATGTGGGAAACATAAGGGTAAATGCCTTAAAAGTAAGGTGCAAAGAAGGGCTATCAACCCCTCTACCTTTAATGGCCTTAAATCACAAGTTTCAGCCCAAAAAGACAGATAATAAATAACTCAAAAACAACAAAAAAACATAGAAAACAAGTAGTGTAAAGATGGTACAAAAGGACTAGAAGGTATACCTCTTCAAGATGAATGCTTCTTTGAGTTACAAACCACCAATTTCACATTCTCAAGTGCCTTAAGAGCTCAAATTCAAGCTCAAATCACCTCAGTAAAAAGTTCTCCAGATTTGGTTTAGAGTGTCTAGGCAAAGGCTATTCAAGTTGCCAGATAGAGAGAGAGAATTGTAGAGAGAGATGAATTTTTCAAAATTTGCTCTTCAAAAATATTTTCTCACTCCGAAATTTTTCTCACCTTGAAAGCAAGAAGAGAGGTCCTCTATATATAGAAAACCATGTGCCTATCTCGGAAATATCTGTGTAAGAATAGCTAGTATAGTGTGGGAACAACTGGTAACAAATATCTGCAAATATCTGGCTTTTTACACAAACGGCCAGAAGGCCACTAAAAGTGGGTTGCCCGCCACTATTAGTGGGCGGCAGGCAAAAATCTGCTTTTAGGCCCAACTTTAAATGGGTATATCTCCCTTATCTGGACTCGATTTTAGGTCATTCTTGAGTCTAAATTGAAGCCATGGAAGTCTACTTTCTAATGGCTGTGGCCTCACATCTAAATTCTAAGTGTTCAAAGATATATGCCTATTTTAGTGAAGGCTGCTCATTTCTGTCCTAACGGATTGATGCCCAACTTTCTCCTCAATTAGTTTTCTTCCATCTCCTCCTATTTTCTTCAACTCCAAACCTAAAAATAAGATGTTTTTAAAGTTTTTTCAAAGAGTTCACATCTTTTTCATTTATTTCCACTTTGTTCTTATTCGGTTTACCGAAAAGTGCAATATTTTAAACGAAATACGGGCCTCGGAATATCGTAGAAACATTTTCAAAAATATTTTGAAAAAGAGGGTTTCAAGGTCTAAAATAGTTTTGGTCAAAATAGGGTGTAAGGTTGGGATTTAGAAGCTCTTCTTACTAAAGAAATCAAACATTTGCACAACATAACTTTCATCATCGAGTGATCAATTAGTGGCACCCAAGTCTTAAAGGCAGTACAAAATGGGATGTCTACAATATGAGTGTTCTTGCCGTTGATGATGACCAAATTTGTTTGAGGCTACTGGATGGTTTGCTTTGAAAATGCCAGTACCATAGTTTGATTCTCATCTTTTATGCTTATTTCTTTGTTTTCTTGTGAGATTTTGTTCCATTGATCAGAAATGATTCTTCAAATTTTGACGCAATTTGTTTTTGTTTTTGGGGTTGAAGTTTGATGGAAATTATCTTGATTCATTTTGCTCTTGTCGGTCGACCGGCTAGTCGACTCTCCGAACGTCTTGTGATTTGATGAAAGTTACAGTATTTATCATTGGAGTGGCTAATATCAGATAAAAATTAATCATATTTTTATTTAAATTTAATTAAATTTTTGATAAATTATTGGAGATGTGATTAAAAGACTAGGTTTGTTCAAGCTTATGAGCACTTAGGGCACATAAAGTGTGGTAATTGAATGCCGTTGTCTTGTATGTATATGAGGTGGAGTCCACTTATATCCCACTTTTTAAGTTGATGCCAACCCACATGCCTTTTTCTTGGGAATATGTTTGATTTTAATAATATTTTGTTTATTATTTAATGTGATATATTTGTAATAATTGAATGAATGAAATTATTGCTCGCCTTATTTTATTAGTATTTGGGGATGTGATACATTAAATAATAAAAATTTACAAAAAATTGTATAAAATTTTCTATAGATTGATTTATCAGTGTCATTTTTGTAATTAAATATTACTTTAATATATATTTTTATTTTAAAATGCTCGGTTTTAATACGATTAATTTATGGGTGATTATGTAGAGTTTATCTTCTCTTAGCAATTTTTTTAGATAAAAATATGATAATATAAAAATGTTAAGATTATTTGGTCAAAATAATTTTTTTCATGGAAATTATACGTTTAGGGTTTTATAAAATACAAAAATACTATATCCCTCTAATTTATCACACATTTGTGTGAGTCCCACACCCATGTGAGAGATTTGATAGAATATTTAATAATTCATTTGGGATTTATAGCATTTTCCTTTTGGGAATGATAAATTAGGTGTTTTAAACATTTTTCTATAAAATAAACACTTCGAATAATCGAAACGAGACTTATGATGACTCTACAAATTTCTCAAATTCTATTATATTGAGATATAAATATAAAAAAATATGCTCTTATAATATTTAATTTGTCAAAAATTCCATGTACCAACACCACATAGCCTATTTAACAATTTTTCTACATTGTGGGTGTTTGGAAAGTTGTTATTTTAGTAGGCTATTTTAGTTTTTGACTATTTTAGTAAATTAAAATTTTTGTATTTGAAAAGATAGTTAAATTTTTTTATAGTTGGGTGTGATATTAGTGAGAGAAAAAATAAAATAATTATGAATTTAATGTGACATTTTATTTTATTTATTATTTTAACATATTTCATCTTTTTGTAAAGCTGCTTATTTAAAAAATTCACAATCTTAAACATCTTACAACAAAGTTTGACGCCTTTAAATAAAATATTATTCATGACATATCACTATTCAAATATAAAATGGAGGAGTAAAAGGTTTCAACAGCAAAAGATGAAGATTAGGAAAAAAAACCAAAAAAAAAAAAAAACAGACAAAACAATTTTTCGAGGCAAATTCGCGTCTCCAATTTCGAGACCTTTAGCACGGTTCAATAAAAATTTACAAAAAATTGTATAAAATTTTCTATAGATTGATGTATCAGTGTCACTTTTGTAATTAAATATTTCTTTAATATATATTTTTATTTTAAAATGCTAGGTTTTAATACGATTAATTTATGGGTGATTATGTAGAGTTTATCTTCTCTTACCAATTTTTTTAGATAAAAATATGATAAAATAAAAATGTTAAGATTATTTGGTCAAAATAATTTTTTTCATAGATACTATACGTTTAGGGTTTTATAAAATACAACAATACTATATCCCTCTAATTTATCACACATTTGTGTGGGTTTTACACCCATATGAGAGATTTGGTAGAATATTTAATAATTAATTTGGGATTTATAGCATTTTCCTTTTAGGAATGATAAATTAGGTGTTTCAAACATTTTTCTATAAAATAAACACTTCGAATAATCGAAACGAGACTTATGATGACTCTACAAATTTTTCAAATTCTGTTATATTGAGATATAAATATAAAAAAATATACTCTTATAATATTTAATTTGTCAAAAATTCCATGTACCAACACCACATAGCCTATTTAACAATTTTTCTACATTGTGGGTGTTTGGAAAGTTGCTATTTTAGTAAGCTATTTTAGTTTTTGACTATTTTAGTAAATTAAAATTTTTATATTTGAAAAGATAGTTGAATTTTTTGTAGTTAGGTGTGATATTTGTGAGAGAAAAAATAAAATAATTATAAATTTAATGTGACATTTTATCTTATTTACTATTTTAACGTATTTCATCTTTTTGTGAATGTAATCTAAAAAATCAAAAAATTGCCTTTGCCCAAGTATGCCAGCGAGACCTTTGTGGATGCGAATGGTTCATTTTTCAAAAAAATATAATTTAATATATTTGGTTTCAGTTTTTTAAATTTAATTTTTTTTAAATTAATTTTTTTTCGTGCTTGTTTATTTTTATTAAATATTTTAAAAATTTTAAGCATTTTTTTTTACTTTTTTAAATGTACCTTACTTAAATATAACTAAAAAGTAAAATATTTGTAAAAAAATATTTCAAAAAATTAATAAATACACAAAAATATAAAAAATATACTAAATTTTTATATTTTTTTATATTTTTGATATTTGTAAATTTTTTAAAAAAAATTACGAAAATTATACTTTTTAAGTGTATTTATGTTAAGTGTGTATAAAAATTAAAAAAATTGCTTAATTATTAAAAAAATCAGTAAAAATAAAAAAAAATACAAAAAATAATAAAGTAGAATTTTTTGAAAAATATTTTTAGAAAACCCAAATCAAGCAATATTTTTAAAATTTTAATTTAGTTATATTTTTTTTTTCAATTATTTATTAGTCATATGAATAAAAATATATTATTATTTTTTATTAAATTATAAAAAAAATTACTAAAAATAAACAAAAATTCATTCAAAAAATAATTTTTGAAAAATTAAACCAAATAGAAAGATAAACTTTTCCATTTTTTTAAAAAAAAAATCCTTCTTGTCTCCTCCAACTAATGTGCAATTCTCCCCAAAGAAAAAAAAAAAACTGCATCAAAATCTTTCAAATTCCCATGGCTCCATTTTATTTTTTTTTGTTATAGGAAAATCTTTTCACTTGTCTGCAGATTAAGGTAGCATCCGAGATCCCTACTATTCATTCTGACCGAGATCATCAGGTTCTTACTATCCATTCTGAATTAGAAAACTATAATCCGAAAATTTATCTTGATCTCTCAAAACAAATTCTACTTAAGTCAAGATTTACATAACAGAAGAGTATTAAATCTATACCAAGTGTGATGAAACTATTTAAAAGTAACCTCCTAACTAACTGTATTACACCAACAAAAAAAAAAAAATTAATCTAAAAAAGTTTTAAACCTGGAACCTGACGGCCTAATCCCAGACCTTGGCCAAGTTGCCAACCATCCGTGGTTCCATGGCTCCATTAGCTCTCTCCTTCACTGTTGCTTTTTCTAAGCTTTACATTTAACTCTCTGTTTTCGCCACAAACTCTCTCTCTCTCTCTCTCTCTCTCTTCTACTTCACAGTTCACTGACAGTACTCTCTTGACCAACCCCAATATCTCTCTCTTCAACTTCTTTTTCAAAGAATCCACAGCTTTCTATTAATGGAACACCAAATCTTTCTTGTCTTCTTCTTCTTCTATCTCTTCTCTCCCCTTCTCATCTTCCCCAAAATCCTTCACTTTTTCTGAAGGAAAAAAATATCAAAAAATCAATGGAAACTAAAACCAAAACCACTCACACTCTCTCTCTACCTTTCTCTCTCCTCCACTTGTCACTTCTTCTCCATCTCTCCATAGCTTTCACTCCTCTAGATAACCATCTCATTAGCTGTGGATCAATCGCGAACACACCTGTGGATAACAGGGTCTTCGTTGGTGACTTGACGAAACCCAACTCGGTTTCTCTTTCTTCAGGTCAATCAATCTCTCTCACCAATCCAAACCCATCTTCAAATTCAATTCCACTTTACCAAAAAGCCAGAGTTTTCACCAGAGCTTCGAGCTACGAGTTCGAAATCAAGAAAATTGGAACTCACATGGTACGTCTTCACTTCTCTCCATTCATTTCTCAGAGTTATGATCTCAACACTGCAAATTTCAGTGTTTCGGCTAATGGGTTTTCGATTTTGAGCCATTTTGGTATTAGCTCCACTGTGCTTAAAGAGTTCATTTTGATGATCAATGTTGTGAAATTTGAATTGTTGTTTGTGCCTACGAATCAATCTGGTTTTGCTTTTGTTAATGCAATTGAAGTGTTTTCGGTTCCTGATGATCTCATTTTCGAATACGAAGCTAAATTGATTGGTCCTAATGGAGATGAAGTGTTCGACAATATGTCTAAACAGATTTTAGAAACTGTTCATAGGATCAATGTTGGGGGTTCGAAATTAACCCCTTTCAATGACACCCTTTGGAGAACTTGGATCCCTGATGAGGATTTTCTACTTCTGAAATCGGCTGCAAAGATTGCGAGTACTACTCATACGCCAAACTACGAAAATGGCGGTGCAAGCAGAGTGAGTGCTCCAGATAACGTTTACATGACTGCACAACAGATGAATAGGGATAATTTAACTACAAATGCAGAATTCAATTTAACTTGGGATTATCCAGTGGATTTGGAATCTGCTCGATACTTTGTTCGTTTGCATTTCTGTGATATCGTTAGTCAATCCCTTAACTTGCTTTACTTCAATGTGTTTATCAACGGGTTTATTGCGTACAAAGATCTTGATCTGTCTTCGCTTACATCCCACACGCTTGCATCTCCGCGTTTCATAGATTTCGTTGTGGATTTGGATAATTCAGGAGTTGTGCGGATTAGTGTTGGTCCTTCTGATCTTAGTAGTTTGTTGAGAAAGAATGCTATTTTGAATGGGGTAGAGATCATGAAGATGGTGAATTTTATGGGTTCAGAAGATCGGTCCAAGAAGATTAGTAATTGGGTTTTGGTAGGTTCAATTGTTGGAGGCTTTGCTTTTTTGTGTGTGGTAGCCTTCACTGTTTTACTGATATTGCGAAGAGTAAGGCAGAAACAAAAACTAAAAAAAACAGAAAGTATGGGTTGGACGCCTTTACAAGCACACAGAGGCAGTTCGCTTAGTAGGCTGTCTGAAGGGACTGCCCTTGTATCCCCAGGATCGATCCCTTTTGCTGAAATACAATTGGCAACAAACAATTTCGACAAAAATCTTATTATTGGTTCTGGTGGATTTGGCATCGTTTACAAAGGGGTCCTCCGAGACAACACAAAGGTGGCGGTGAAGAGAGGTGTACCAGGATCTAGGCAAGGCCTCCATGAATTCCAGTCTGAAATAACAGTTCTGTCAAAAATTCGACACCACCACCTTGTTTCACTTGTTGGGTTTTGTGAAGAACAGTCAGAAATGATACTTGTCTACGAATACGTGGAGAAAGGGCCATTGAAAAAACATCTATATGGTTCAGGACTACCGCCTTTGTCTTGGAAGCAGAGGCTCGAAATTTGTATTGGTGCTGCGAGAGGCCTTCATTACCTTCACACGGGTTTGGCACAGGGAATCATCCACCGCGACATCAAATCCACCAACATTTTGCTCGATGAGAACTATGTCGCTAAGGTTGCTGATTTCGGGCTCTCAAGGCCTGGTCCGTGTCTCAATGAGACCCACGTGAGCACCGGTGTCAAAGGCAGTTTTGGGTACCTTGATCCAGAGTATTTTCGCAGGCAACAACTTACGGATAAATCAGACATTTATTCATTTGGGGTTGTGCTCTTTGAAGTTCTTTGTGCTAGACCCGCTGTTGATCCATTGCTTGCAAGTGAGCTTGTCAATTTGGCCGAGTGGGCATTGGAATGGCAAAAGAAGGGCTTGCTTGACCAGATCATTGATCCGTATCTTGTGGGGAAGATAAAACCGACCTCTCTGAGAAAATTTGGTGAAACAGCCGAGAAATGCTTGGCTGAGTATGGTGCAGATAGACCTACGATGGGCGATGTGTTGTGGAATTTGGAGTATGCACTTCAGCTTCAGGGGAATGGAAGGCAAAGAGGAGCTCATGAAGAGAGTGGTGTAAATGCTCAAGAACTCCCAGCGGCTAGGGTTGTGCCCCGAGCTCTGTCAAGCGATGGTGGAATTGAGAGAGATGATGGTGATGGGGTTTCAGATATATCGGGAAGCCAAGTTTTTTCCCAATTGATTACTAATGAAGGTAGATAGTTCAGATGATTATGATGGGATGTGTTCGAAATTACGATAAAATATGCTCAAAATTATGATTCAATCAGATTGTGTTGCAACTCTAATAACGCATTGAGGAGTAACTCGGAGTTGTGGTTCAATGTGAATTTTGTCGTAACTTTAACCACAAGACATCGTAAAAAAAGGGGGTGAGTCATGTGACATCGTAAGAAAGGGGGTGAGGGCGAAAGACGATCATGATAGTTTATAGGTTATATTGTAAAATAAGTTCAAGCACAGCATGAGCTACAATGCCCAAAATTTATGTAGAAACATACATACATTCTGAGGTATCAAATGAAGTTTTAGCAATATTTTGTTTCAATTTCTGAATTTTTTGTAAGTGCATTTCATTTCCTTGTCAAGCTGGGCGTGTTGGATGTCCTTCTAATCTTGTGTATTTGATATGGCTAGTCGACTGACAATGTCCTGTTTGGTGTAACTGTTAAAACAGATTATACATTATAACTTAATAAATTATAAATTATAACTTTAATCAGAAACTGTTAATCTATTTGGTGTAAGTGTTGAATTATAAATTTAAGTTGTTGAGTAGTGTTTGTTAAATAAGCTGTGAAGTAATTTTTTCAATTAATTTTTATTTTTTGTTATTCACTACTTGTCTACATTTTTCATAAATAATAATAATAATAATATTCTATAGTCCATTTGAGTTTTTTTCTATTTTTAAAAAAACAAAAAATAAAAAATAAAAAAATCTAAGAGTGTGATTGTAAATTAACATATTCACGGCAAAAATTAATAATCAGAAGTAAGCAGCGAGCAGCTTTTCAGAACTAATTTTTTTGACTTAAAATAAGTTATTAGAATAAAAAACTATTTAAAATAAATTTAATCAAATAATTCAAAATAACTTTTCAAAAATCACAAGGCATAAATTGACTTAAAAAAAAAAAACCTAAACAGACACCCCCAATGAAGGCGTGGTAGGAGGATGTCCTCTCCATCTCCACTGAGGCCTGTTTGGCAAAAATTTTTTTTTACTAAAAGAGCCACAAAAAAGTCAAAAGCCAACAATTGAGGTCCAGGGCTGCTAAACTTTACAGGTAAAAATAATATTAAAAATAATGATGATCCATCAATTGAGGTCCAGGGCTGCTAGAGCGTTGGAGTTAAATGATGGGCATCCTGACTGGGTTAAAAAATGTTTTTGCGGTCATATTTTTCATGATTTATTTTATTTTTTAATTTATCAAAATAAATTTATAAATTTCAATTCTTCACTAATCATAATATTATTAAAATATCCGTGCCAACATCAACTAAGAGTATCTACACTAATATTTTTAAATTTTTAGTCAAATTAAAACTATTTTGCTATTTTAGTTAGTCACCTCTTAATACTTACTGTGTCAGACTTTTTATTCTAACTTAATCTTATTAAAATATTATTTTTTTATTATGTTTGTTAGTCTTTTTTTTTATTTATTAAATTGATAAGTAGCTAAACAATTTTTTGAAAAAAAATAAAAAATTGCCGTTGAGCGGTTGACAGGTCGGTTGTTCGGCCAGACTTCCGAGCAGACATTCGATAACACTAATCTAGCGATGAATAATTTCTGGTTTGCTGTAATGAGATGCTGTAATAATCATAAATTTTGACAAGTTACAAACGAGTTTGATGAATTTGATTTTTTTAAGTTCATTAACTAAAAAACGATATTGGCTTCTTTTGGGAAGCCATGGTTTGGGCTTTTTTTGTCTATTTTTGTCACAAAAAACAAAATAGACTATTTTAGTCATAACAAACAAAACATCACATCCAACCCATAATCATTACATTCTTCTCTCACAAAAAAACTCAAAAAAACCAAAAAGCCTTTCCCAAACCAAGCTTTTAAGCCCAAGCTAAAATAGTTAAAAAAACCAAAAAATCAAAAAGCCAACCCACTTCCCAAACGGAGGCATTATCAGTTTGATGGGGCATTATCAGTTTGATGGGGATGCTCTAATAACTTCTTGATTGCATGGGCCATGGCCACCTCACTCGCATACAGTTGTCGCACTCTGGCATTTTCAATCATTTCAGTGAATTGTTAGGCCATTTTATAAAAAAACTAATCAACATTTTTGTAAAAAAAATTCAAATTAATGATAAAATTTACAAATTTTAATAATTGAAATCATAAATTTTTTCATGTATCAATAATTATTTTAAAAGATAAAATTGTTTGTAATTCTTCTTTTTTTTTTATTTTTTGTTGAAAATTTATAAAGCAATTAAAATACTTGTAAATGACATATAGAACAAAATAAAAATCCAAAAACTATATTGGGCCCAACGATTCAAGAAGAACTGGTTGAGATTAGGGGAGAAGAGTACAAGATATTTTCATCAAATGGCTACTTGAAAGAAAAATAAGAATCAAATCAGTCTTTTGAAAAAAGAGGATGGATCAATTGTTACAGAGCAAAGGAGATTCACCAAGCTTTTGTTAATCATTTCAAGTCTCTTTTTAAGTGTGGTGGCCAGAGCCAATGTCGGAATTCGCAACATTCAACATCAGTTATTTACCGGTGTGGTGGATGGCGAATGGAAGCAGGACACTAGAGCAGGTAGTCTATTAATTTATGGGTGTGTTTTGATGAAGCTCAAGGTAAGGTGTACCTGAGAGGGGAGATTTGCGCCGTTAGTACGACCGAGCAGAGATTAGACGGGTCCGTTTTGCTCGGTCTAAAGGATCGGCTGACCAGGCGTGAACTAAGCCTGGCCGAGCTGCGACTAGCAAACATTCGGCATTGCACACAGCTAAGTGGCGAGATCGGGCTACGGATAGCTCGGGCTAAACTGCGGACAAGGAAGGGATGACGCGTCTCTGACCGGTGAGCCGAGATGGGAAGATTCAAGATAACCTCGGATGAAGGTAGAACGGACGGAGGCCGGCATGCCTCGCGACCGGTATGCCACGATAAACCGGTCAATACCTGCCCGGCCCATGAGCATCACCCCTCCGCCCCTTTGCCAAGGGGCAGTCCGGTGGGACATAGAGCGGTTGAGCGCCTGTAGTGATAGTTCTTCGTGGGAGATAGGCCGGTCGTGGTACTGCAGTCAGGTGTGCCACCTGGGCCAATGGCACGAGGGAAGGGACATCTGCTCCACACATGCCTCAATACCGTTAGACAGTTCTGCGTGTACTGATGGGAGGACTGAGCCTTTACACGCATAAGGTGGTGAGAGGTGAGCACTGCCACCTGTCTTGGGAAGGACGGCAGAGGTAGTGCGCGCATAATCTTGAGGCTGCATGGCCAGCCTTGAAATAGGGAGGAGGATGAACGTTAGAGGTATGCAATTTCTTTCCCAAAGAGAATACTCTCTCTCTCTCAGTCTTCTTCTTCTTCCTCAAGTGGACTGACTTGATCGTCGGAGGGTCTATCCGGCACACCACCGCCGGGCAGCTCACCGTTTCTGTGTTGCCAGGTAGACGCCGTCAAGAGAAGCTTAGAGTACAAGGAGTACGGAAAGCAGAGGATATTTCGCCCCCGTACAATTGGCACCGTCTGTGGGAAGTTTTTTGATACTCAACCCTTGTTCTTAGAGCTTCTTCAACCATTTCCATGGCCAACAACGGCGAAGCCCCACTGTTCGTCATCGATGGCATTACACCTAAATACGTCCGCGCGAGAGAAGGTCCTCCGAATATTCCAGCCATGGCGGGCCTAGAGACTCCTTCGCGAAGTGCGCGAGACAAACACGGGAGGAGTATTGATCGCTCGCGGAGTCCTGAGGGCCGCCGACGCCGGGAGGAGTCCTATACGCAGCGCCTGGAGCACAAACTCAGGGACCAAGACGCTGTCATTCGCAAAATGGCGGCGGAGATGGAGCTGCTGAAACGCTAAATTAAAGGGAAGGGTGTTGCTGGAGAGGGCAACCTCAGTGAGCGCACCCCGTCCCCTCGTTGCAGCAGTCGCCGCTAGGGGAGGACCCACTCTCTCTCCATCACCAGGAACTATGGGGTTGGAGGTTCTGACTAGGGAGAGGGCTGGTTCCTCTCTCGCGACAACACCTACCGCCTCTCACACCCGACGCCGACGTCGGGATCCTCTTTCTCCACACGTTCCAGGGACTTGAGGGATGTATTGGAGAAGAGGGCGCGTCGTCGGGAGGCTCGGAGAGTGCCGGCATTGCAGAGGTTAAGTGTTCCAGTTCGTTACAGTGAGGAAGTGGCGATGCCAGCCTCCAAAGTGATGGCCCCTGCGCTGGTGGACAAAGAGCTGGCGCGACTTACTGCCACGTCGCTGTCTCTAGAGATTGAGAGTACGCCACTACCCGCCGGATTCCACCAACCAAAGTTCACCCTGTACGACAGCAAGACGGATCCATACATGCATGTGAGCCATTACCGGCAAGTAATGGCTGGACACCGGCGGAATGACGCCTTGATGTGCCTCATATTCCCAGCAAGCTTGGGAGAGCTGGGTTTGAAATGGTTCGAAAGGCTCCCGGAGAGGAGTATTGAGGGGTGGCAGCAACTAGCGGAAGCCTTCATCACCAGATTTAAAACCAACACACGAACGCCGAAGGAGGTCGACCATCTCCTGGGCGTCAAGATGGAGTCTGGATGTTCGTTGAAGGTATACAATGCGAAATACTGGGAAACTTACAATGAGATCCTCGACTATCCCACCAATCTGGTGATCACTCAGTACAAACGGGGTCTCCCAGTCGGACATAGGCTGCGAGATTCACTCACGATGCATCAGCCTACAACCATGGAGTCATTGATGCAGCGGATCAATGAGCACATTCGTGTGGAGGATGATGCCGCCTCCATGACCGAGAAGGCTAATCCAGTCGCGGCGGACAGAAGGGTTGCGGGGAAAGTTCACTCGGTTGGGAAGGAGGATAACCGCCCGAACAACCAGTCGAAAGACCAGTGCCGTGGTTCAAACCGTGATGGCAGAAACAAGGGCCGCTGAAATGACCGGGCTGACCCTCCCCGTGATGCGGCAGAGGATGCCAAAAGAAAATTGAAGGCGCGGATTGGGATCACCACGGTATTTAAAATCCCCATCTACCGCATTTTGAGCGAGATTCGAGGTGAACCCTTCGTCCGATGGCCAGCCAAGTTGGGGAGTGCGCAGAGGGGCTTCAATTCAAAATATCGCTGCACCTTTCATGAAGAATGGGGGCACCGAACGGAGGACTGCTTGCCGCTCAAACAACACTTAGAGGAGTTGGTGGCGGCGGGGCATCTTGACCAATACATAGATGGGGGCATCAAGGCCACGCCAGCGGACCAAGTCGAGCCAAACGGCCTGGCCGCCCTAGAAGCGCCCTCGCAAGGTGTAATCAACGTCATCCAC